TGGTGGGGCCTGGGAAGGGTGCAGGGGTGGGGGGGGTGTCTCTGTGATTGTTGGCGGGGGCTCCCACCTCCAGGCTCATCCCCTGTGCCTGGTGCTGCAGGTCTGAGATCCGCAGGTCCAGCTCTGAGCTCTTGGCCTGGGGGCAGAGAAGGGGAGGAGACCCAGCAGTGAGCCCCCCAAGCCAGCCACAGCTGAGGAGCGGGGCCCGGCCTCCACCCACTGCTCTGAGCCTCTCCAAGCTGAGAGAAGCCGGGGGTCTGGTCTCCCAGCCCCCCCTGCTCCCCCCACACAGAGAACCCAGGCATCCGGGCCCCTCGCCCCTGACCTGGGGGCCATCGGTGCTGCTGGCCTCGTCGGAAGACAGGGACTCGCCCTCGGGCTGGGGCCGCAGTAGGGGGGCCACGGCAGTTGCCCTGCCCTTGTGGGGAACCAGGTCCTGGGTACAGCGGGGGCTAGGCTTGGGGTCCTGCAGCTTCATAGCTCCCAGCCTGTGGGAGATGGGACCTGTTATACCTGGTCATGCACTTCCCCCCTCCAGAGCCAACTGCATTTTGGGGCCCTGTTACACCCAGCCCTGATGCCCACTCCAGAGCCAGCCACATCCCAGGGATCCCGTTACACCCAGCCATGATGCCCTAGCCCAGAGGCAGGTACGTCTCAGGGCCCTGCAAGGCCCAGGCCTGATGCCCCACCCCAGAGCTGGGCACATTTCAGGGTCCCGTTACCCCCAGCCCTGACACGCCCCAGAGCCAGCCGCATCTCAGGGCCTGCGATACCCACTCGTGATGCCCACCCCAGGTGCCTTGTTATGCAGAGCCGTGACACCCTGCCCCAGAACCGGCTGCATCTCAGGGGCCCCATTATGCCCCGCCCCAGAAGTGGACGCATTTCCAAGCCCTGCCCATTTCATGGCCTTTACACCAGTGAAACTCAACAGGAAGGAATCTCGGGAGCCAGATCCTGGTGCGACCCCGGGCCCTGACCCAGCCTCCCCAACGCCTGCCAGGCCCCGGGGCTGGGGAGGTTGTGACCCCTGGGGTCAAGGCCCCTGCCCGGAGATGCAGCTGACTCTGGGGTGGGGCATCACAGCCGGGTGTAACAGGGACCCTTCCTCCCCCACGGCGTGCCCAGGTCGGGGGGACTTTAACCCTTCGGGGGCTGGAGAAAAAAGCGGGGTGGGGGTCGGGGGAATGAGGAGCCCCCACCCCACTCACCCGTCTGCGGGGCCCAGCGCCGTCCCAGCACCCCCGGGCCGAGCCGGGCGGCGCCTTCCCGGAGCACCTGTGACATCAGCGCCCCGGGGCCGCCTACGTCACGAGGAACCCAGGTGTCCGGCCCCGCCCCCGTGGCACGGCGGCCCGAAACCACCGCCCCCCCTCACCGCCGCTCGGGAGTTTCTCGCGTTGAGCAACCGCTGCGCGCCGGGTCCCCTCCAGCGCGGGAGGGAGCGGGGGCAGCGGGGCGGGGGGGC